AATATACTTTTAAATTCTTTGGAATTGTCAATTTGGGTGCCCTTTTCTTAATGCCATGGCCGTTTCTTTGGAATTTCCAGGGGACATGTCATGGTCCTTTTGGAATTTTCAGGGGACAATAATTTTGGTATAAATAATTATTAGGATAGTTTGAGAATTTATTTTCATCTCTATTTGTAAAATCTTAAACTCTAAAAATAATTCAAATCAAGTAGATTTATAAACACTTGAAAATGGATAGTCTAGATAACGTGTTGTAAGATGGCACTAGTTTTAAGTCGCAAAATCTTGTTTTCTTTTCATATTCATACATCTCAATGTCTAGATATCAATTAAATGGTTTTCCAACATCAAAAGAACTTTGAGGTGCACCTTATTTTTACATTCTAAAGTTGCAACATTACGTAAACTTTTTTCAATAATAAATGAGGTGATCAAATCAACAATTTTTCAATCAAGTTAGTTATTTTCTAAATATCAGTTTTTTAGCTTTAAATGTTATCAACAAAATGGTTGCTTTTTCCTTAAAAAAAATCTTTTATTTACGGAGCTCCTTAAAAATTCTATTAAAAGTGCTCATCGATCATTTCTAACCCTAAACAAACGAGGGTGTTTTGATAATGGAAAAATAATTCATGCCCCAGGCGATGCACTTCTACGATAGTGTTTCTTGACGCACTAAACATCCATGTGGTGCCTCCAAACAAAAATTGAAACCAAGGGTGTTAAAATTATATTAAAAAATATTTTTTTACTTATAATACTGATTTTTTCAGATTCGTGCGACCATGGTTTATATTTTTTTTATTTTTTCAGATTCGTACAATCGTGGTTTAGATTTTCAATCTTTAAAATCTTATATCCAAAATTCAGCTCTAAAGTAGATTTTGGAGAGAAGATTCATTTAAATAAATGAAGCTGTAGACTCATAAAAGCCTAATCCTTTGAAAATTTGTCCCTCTTTTAAGCCATTTGAGAATTTGACCCTCTTTTAAGCCATTTGAGTGAAACTGCTAAAATACCCATTTGTGCAACATGCTTTTCTATTAAAAATTCTTGTCCTGAAATTTTTGATATTTTAATCTATTTAAGTTTCAGAAGATACAAGGCTATTATATTATGCATACTTGTTCCAGGTTCCAAACCGAAACCTTTTTATTAATATACCTTGTATCAAGTTTTGACCCAGAACTTATTCATTAATATACCTTGTATCAAGTTTTGACCCAAAATAAAACAAGTAGAGGTATTTGTACTTTTCGTTAATATACCTTGTATTAAGTTTTGACCCAAAACAAGTAGAGGTATTTATACGTCAATGGACTTAGTTACTATATTGTCAAAGTGTTTCCCTTTAGATTCTTTTCTAAATTTGTTTTAATATTTTTAAATCCCATCTAAATCCCCATCCCATAAACCTCTTTAATTTTCATATTCATTCATTTATTTTTTAATATTTTCCTGGATCATTGATTCCACCCAATCCGGACCGCGATCACCAATCCGGGATTTAGAACAATACTTTCTTATGCTCAAACTTTGTGAGCATGTGTACGATTTGGATGCACTAGTTAGATGCCTTATATAAACTTTTTATATAAGGTTGATGTCTATTGCATAAGGTTGATGCCTTACATAATTTTTTCTCCAGGAAAAAACTTGTTTTAACCATCTAAATAAATGCGCTTTCATGGACCATGGTACATGTCCAAAAAAATTTGCCAATTAAATTGGCAAGTCAAATGAAAAATTTGGCAAATAGGAGCTCTTATTAGAGTAATGCAAATATGTGGAAAGAGATGTAAAGGGGAAAACATGGGTTAAAACATCAGGAAAACCCAGATGTATATGGTAGACTATTGAGTGGGAACTCCAGGGAAGTTTGGGATGAGAGTGAGAGCAATGTCAGATTATCTTCAGAGTCTTGATCGGTTTGCAATTCGATACTTCAATCGATACAGGAAAGACTTCGTAATTTCTTTTTTGTTAATTTAATATAAAAAAATTCGATATTTATAATTAAAATATATTTAAAAAATGAAAAAATTTAAAATAAAAATTTCAAAAAAAAGAAAAATAAAAAGCAACTATCATACAAATATTTCTTTGCTTTTGGCTGAAGAGGCTAAAGCCTTAACGAAATCAGCCCGAAACAGACCTGAATCTAACCGAAGAAACTGTATCAAGCTTTGCTTCGGTCTAAGCCTAAAATCCAAAGGCTTTCGGCCTCTTCGGCCAAAGCAAAGCGAATTTGATAACAGAGAGAGAAACATAGAGAAAACCATACTTCGTTATTTTAAAATAGAAATTTTCAAAAAGAAAGAAAGACAACCCCAAATGCAGCGAGAGAGAGAGAGAGAGAGAGAGAGAGCAATAATTTGTATAAAAAGTAGACAAAGATCCCCCTTGATCGCCCATAATCCCACACTTGTGTGTCTCCTTGTATATAAAATTTATTGAATACTAAAACTGCAGATGAAGCAAATAGAACAAGACTAACCTGCCGCAATTTCCGAAAGGTCAAAATGTGGCTTCCTATCAAAGAGACTTCTAATTACATCAAACCCTTCTCTCATGACAACAAAAACTCCATGCAATCATTCAAAGCGCGTTTTGTATCTGCCTCCACCTCAAAACCATCACTTTCAAAATCTTAAGAGGTCAAAACCCATCATGTTCAGGGAAATTTCCAAGTCTCTAGGCTGAGCAAAAGCTACAAACTGGTCAAATGTTTCAAGGAAAAATTCCTAACTTCGAGGCTGAGAAAATGTTAAACAAGATTTTTCATGTTTCTAAAATATCAAGATAAAAGACATGGGGCAAAGGGCTACATATGTACAAAGTTACACCGGGCAGGTTCTCCCCTTACCCAACAAAATAAGAAAGATGGGGGCGCTCCATTTTAGAGCAAAGAGAGCAATGCTGATTTTTCGAGTTGAAAAAAAAAAGGAAAAGAAGTAACCCAAACAGTTTCAGAGCCATGTTCTTCACCCCAAAAGTTCCCATGAAAACCAAGCTTTCAAGCTCATTTAAGTGGGGGGCTGGCGTTGGGTTGGACTGTCACCTTTGTCTATGTCTATGGCACTCATGGAGCCTGTCAAAGAAGTCTTTTCCTTATCATCGCATTCCTCGGTTTCATCATTGAAGACAGACCCCTGCCTCAACAATTCTTTCACCTTTCTGTACTCATCATAATGTGCCCTCCTGTGTTCTGTAAAACTTAATCTGCCCCGATCCATTTCAAAATCTGAGAGAAATATTATCAGAAACTCTATCAAAATCAGGAGATAGATGCTAAAAATCTGGCCCGACTTATATCCAATCAAATAAGAACGGGGATCCTAAAAAGGTTGAGGATTAAAAGGAAAATGCAGATAGAAAAGCCAGCTTCAAACTTGAATAGACAATGGAACTTGCACAACTCAATATTAGGGTGCTTTGCTTTTAACTAGAGAAACCAGGACCAAGAGAATAAGAGAGCAAGCTAAAACGACAGAAATAAGAAGTATGAAAAAAACTACATGATTTCAAACCCCCCCTAGCCTTCTTAAAACTGCATGATTTAGTCATTTCTTGCATTTAACAGGGTCAAGCTCCTAATGCTTTCAAACACTTGACTGGAGGTCATATCACAGAGGCTAACTACAAACTTTTGCACCCAATAACGAAAAGGAACTGATATATTATTCTTCTGCACCATACCCATGCTTTCATAACTCATACAATAGGTGACACACATGTTAACTTCCCAAACAAATAGACAAACAAGAAAGGACAATGACTTGTGGAAAATATCAATTGGTAAGAGCCTGGGGAAACTATTCTTCAAAGAAAAGACCTGGGAAAACAATCAAGTGGGAAACATTTATCATTTTAGTCTGGAGAAGCTCTATCCCATAACAATATTATAAGGTTTGCACATCTGGCCAAAATTCTCATTTCAAATGAAAAGATAAAAATCAGAAATACTCCTATCAATCTTTTCTTTCTCTTTTTACAAAATATACTCATCAACTTTAAGTGGGATTTTTTAAAAGGGTGAGGTTTCTATAAGGTGTCAACCTTATATTGAAGTACGGCACACCTCAAAACCATGCCAAAAGATGTAGTTTCAGTGCCGGCGACCTTGTGATAGCATGGAAATCTATTGTCAACCTTAATTATGGAATTTAGAACTCCAAAAATGATATAGATCGAGTAGACCTTTAGACAATTACATTTTTTGAAAATGGATGGCCCAGATAACGTGTTACAAGATGCACTACTTTTTTATTTGAGGCTGAGATGATCTATTTGTCCTCATTTCCATACATTTTTAGGCTGAGATGATCTATTTGAGGGTACTTTTTTTAGCATCGGACAACTTTTTCTGATGGGTTTTTGACGTGCACCTTACTTCAATAGTATAAGGTTGATACCTTATATAATTTTTTTTGCTTTTTTGCATAAGTTTTGTTTGGAACTTAACAATAGTCACGAGTCCCAATAATGCCCACATGGAAGACTTCAGTTATCATCTCGAAGTCATCTGAACTACAAAGAAAATAGGGCTACTTTGAATACAGGAAAAGGAATATTATCATAAAATATTAAGGAAAAAGTTTATATGAGATTGAGGCCCTAAACAATCAAATTAAGGTGCACCTCAAAAATTCACTAGAAAAGGTAATGTCGAAAAACCCTCAAATCGATCATCTCAACCTTGAGATGTATAGACGTAAAAAAATATGGATTTCAACCTCTGGGAAATAATGCATCTTGTAATGCATTATCTGGGCTGTCAATTTTCCATGTTTTCAAGTGTTTATAGATCTACTCAATCTACACTATTACTGAACCTTTAAATTTTATAATTAGAGATGAAAATAAATTTTCAGGCCATCACAAAGACTTTTTCTCCTGAAAGATCATCTTTCGACACTATTTAGACGTATGCCTTACTTTGATTGTTTAGGGCCTCAACCTTAAATAAACCATACCCTAACATCAAAGCTTATTTCAAATATTAAAAAAAATTTCTTTCTGGAGGTAATTAACCACATATCAATTTTTTTCAGGATGAAGCACATCATTAAAAAGATATAAGAAATACTTAAGGCACGTATCAACATTTTCTATTTTCGTATGGGAGAAAGTGCACTAAATCCAACAGGTTATGATTCACTTTCAGAGAAGGTATTCTAAATTTAATGGACTATGGAAAAACCAGTCTCTTGTGGCATTACGTCCCTCAAAATGATGGATGACCCAAAAGATGGGTCCGACTCTACACCACCATACATCATTACAATGGAGGATGATGCCCAATGGATCTTTTTTTTCTTTTTTCAACAATCTATTTTTTTTTTATGGTTAACTAACATTTTTTTCAACAGAAATTGGACAACAATATGTACTATGCCCTCTATTTCAAATAGCAGGCAGAATTCTATCATTATTTGGTGAGAAGTAGGGAATTTGTAACCTTCATCATCTTGTTCCATGGCATCTCCCTCATCTTCGGAAGACGTCCAGCCACCACCCCTCCGAGGATGCTGACTATGGGACGATGATGCAACATCATTCAAAGCAGACCGAATAGCTTCAGCATGTGCAGCATTACCCATCTGATCTAAACCATCTCGTATTGGCGAAAGAGAACCTATAAAAGCTAACTAATTAATTTCCAAAACTGAATCTAATTCAAGCTTATCTTTGAAAAGGAAAAAGACATCCAAAAGCTTCAGTGACATACCATCTTCATCGATCGGAGCATGGTAAGGAGTCTTAGGCTCATTGATTTTCTGTCTCACTGGTTTATTTGCCTCAATTTCTCCAAGGTTAGATTCATCCCATACCACACGACCCCTGATGCTCAAAAACCGATATCAGTTGGAAGAATGCAAATAGATGAAATCTACCTGGAACAAGAAATACATTGACATATACAAGCCTATATATCGTGTTTAAGGATTGCGAGGAAGTAGCTAATTTGTCAGCCAGATAAGGGGTTTCTAGAGAAGAGTTAACTATCAGGAAAAACATCGCTTTAGCACAAGCATTATGCTTCATTTATTCTTAGCATCTGAAAGTGCATGTGTGTAAATGTGTGTGCCTAAGTCTTAGACATTTGATCCAGATATACTCAGCAACTTCATAAAATGATTTCATATTGTTTGCTGCTTGGAGAAATCTGATAAATTTTATTCTCAGAAGGTTATGCAAAAATTTGGGCAAGGTGATTACTGAAAACCATGCTATTCCTTTGAATGAGGAATATCTTTTGTTGGTCAAGAAGCAGCCCCTTGTAAACAAATACAAATACATCCTGGAATAATAAAAGCTCAATAAACCAAAAAGCTTATTAATGCTTAACCAAATGCCTCGGTATCTTGGAGCTTTTGTACCACCATCATTCATGAGAAGAGCCATTTCCCAACTATTTGAGGTTGGCTACACGAATCGTGGTCCGCTATTCTGCTCTATCAAGGGTCATACCCTCAACGAGTCCATAAGTCCCCATATATTTTCTCAAAATCAGATCCAAAAACAAAAAATCCATCCCGTACGACGTAAAAGATTAGGAAATAAATATTAGAATTTAGTAAAACATCAAACTCGTGTGACGTAAAAGAGCTGAGACAAGAAAACGTCTAACCCGTACTCCACTGTCAATATGAAGATGGAACTCTAAACCAAATGAGGCAAAAATATTTAAGTTAGACCCCATCCACTCTGCATCCGTCTTAGGATTGATGTCAGAGATGCGCTAAGCAAATCTGAGGCATTCCCTAACTTCATAAAGTCCTAAAATATAATAATCAACAAAAATTTGCTTTTATTTTGTTTTTCTGTCCAGCTATAAGCCACCGATCATAACAACCATAAATAAGTAATTTATGGTATTATACATTTTGCAAGCAAGCATGCTACTCACTTGCAGAACTACGGACGGAAATACCTGAAGACTACCCAAGATTAAGTAGATAGCCAACTAAATGCAAAATATGTTAATATAATAAGAAAATGGGTGCAAGAAAAGAGCAAAAGCAAAAAGAGACTATAATAAAACAAGATTTACATGGTTCACCCCAAAGAGGTTACATCCGTAGAGATGGTACATCGAACTCCACTATCAATGAAGATTATAAATTTGGGTTAGAAGAGAAATACCTCTCCTTAGACAATGGTAAAAGCCTTGCTATTTTTCCCTCCTAAAGTTCTCACAATTGAACAATACCACCAATCATTGGGACAAGGCTCGAATGATGATGATTTATATTTTTATTTATATTTGTATTGCATTTCCTTTTATATCTGTTTTTCACACTTATAGAGCTCACATTTAATAGGTTTGGTTACCAAAAGTAGGGGCAAATTGTCAACTATTCAACTAGAACAAAGAGAGCAAGCCAGAAGAAAATATGTGATTCTAAACTCCCCGATAGATGTCATGTGTATTATAAGAAAATGATAATGTCAGCAAAGAGGAAGTAGAAAGAAAGATCCCCAAAACAACATACAAGTAAGAGTTGGAAAGGAAAGGCAGACATGGGGTAAAAGCCATGGGCAAAAGAGCCTCAAATAAATTTGGAGAATTGTGAAAACCATTTTATGGTGCCTTCTCCACCTGTTCAGGTGAAACAAGCACACTTGAGAAAATCTTCCCCCCCCGAAATTCTGGCGGCCAGGGCCAACTCAAAAAGACTCTCAGTACCTCCTCAAGGGCATCCAGGAGCAAGTCATTGAGACACTCAGGCTCCTCCAAATTCCGGTGAACTAGGAGAATGTAAAAAATACACTCGGCATGATCAAAATTACTGGGTGACCGGGAGCAAGTCATTAAGGTACATGGCACCTCTCCAAATTGTGGTGAATAGCAGCAAGTCATCAAGACACTCGAGGCCGGATTTTGTATCAATATTCTAAGTTCTAGAATAATAGAATAATCAAATATAGTTGGAAAGGTAAGGTAGTGAATTTGTGTCAAGGAGGCGATTGTTATGTCAATGACACATTATCACCCCCTCAATGGGCATATCTCTCTATGCTTAAGTAGTTTGGTCATTGTAAAAATCACTGAAAGTGAAGAAAGTAAATCTTGTGAGATTGAGCTTCAGGTGAGGTTGACATTGGGGATTTTTGGCGAAATCTTAGCTACCTTTGCGCCCTACTTTTGGTGATTTCATCGTAACTTTTCTATCGTAGGAAAAGTCATGGTGATAAAGCCACCAATGAGGTTGCTTCGTTGGTTGTTTTATGTTAGGAAAAGGGTACTGGTAGTGCTTTGTCGATTGTAAGGTAACTCATGTATTTACTAAAATCTTGCAATTATCCCATGAAAATGAAATTTTACCTCAGCTCGTTGTCGGCAGATGCAACCCAATTAGGGTGAAACACATATATTTGTGAGTTGGTGGTGTTCAAATTATGGTTTGCAATGTGTTGCTGTGGTTTTCAATTTTCCTATTTTGATTCTCTTGGTTCCTTGTATTTTTCTCAAATTTATTACATTGAATAGTGTTCTTGGTTTTTGGATTTCTTGAGATCGATTTGCGAGTGATCAGCAAGTTCGTTTTGAGGTACTGGATTTGATGCAGTGGGGGCATTATTGCAACAACGGGTAATTGAGCAAGACCTGGTTCCAATAAATGGGCGCTATCTCACTCAACCACTCATGTCTATCTGCATCTAATAGTATGATTTCATGTTGGTTGTGACACTGTTAATTTCCTCTACTATTCAAAGATGTACAATTGCAAATTGATTTAGGGTTTAACATTCATTGCTAAGTTCTTCAAGCAAGATTCTCCAGACAAGAATCATCACTTTCTGCAATTGTGTTATAGCAATCTTTTCAGTTTTTTTTTAACTTTTTTTTTCATTGGTGGTTTAATTTCATTTCCATGCGCAATTTATTAAAACGGAATATCCTATGTAAGAAAGAAACTCGAACTTATTTTTTGCAATCATCAACAAGAAAAGAAAAGAAATCCAAAAGGTAAATGCAATTGGAGAGCCACCACGTCCATCCATCAAACTCAGAACCCTAGTAACACAGATAAATTTTTAAACTCCTGATTCTATACCATCAAAATTACTCCAATATCAGTAAAGGTAATAGAATTTCGATAGAAAATCCAAATTACACAAAGAACGTAAGGTTATTCAGAGCATATAATGAATGGCGATTAGAGGCTTACAACAATGCAAGAATATCCACACGAATTTAAACCGAAAGAGACCAAAAAAAAAAAAAGAACTCATTTTTTCCCTATAGAGAACAGTTTACCACAAAATAAAATTCAGAAAAAAACCCTAGATCCATTTTCACCACGTTCAGAACCTAATAAAACACTATATTCCACCCGTTTCTCAGCTGGAACAAAACGCTTTAAATGAATTCAATTAAGTACCAGCACAAGTAAATCCTAGTTGCTCCCATGGAAATTCCACAAAAAAAAGAGACAAAACTGAAGCCTCAACCCTCGGCAACTACAAAGCTTAATTGAAAGTATTACTGTATAATTCGAGCAAAAACTTTGATCTATACACAAATAAACAAATGCAGAAAAAAAATAGAAGAAGGAAGGGCACCTGATTTTTGAATTCCGGCTTTTCTTCATTCTGAAACAGAAACCCTAGAATTCTCGGCGTATAATTAGGACTCCTTCGATTGCAGAAAAATTATCGTATTTAATTGGATTTTTTTTCAGTGTTCAAGACACTCTCTCTCTCTCTCTCTAAACTCACTTCTCCCTCTCTCTCTCTCTCTCTAAACGGAAAAAAGCGGTCAAAATGGGGATGGCGTCATAATCGCGGAGATAATGCGGAGACCATCGTGCGGCAGCATACTGTCCATATTTAGACCACTAACTTTTTCTCAAGGAGTTTAGAAGCACCCCCGCCGTCTTATATGAAATCAGACGGCTAGAATGAGATCTAGCATTTGACGGTTAAGATTATCGTGACATTTATGTATCATAGTTAAAATATTTGATTAGACAGTTTCACATATGGATTGCGTAAACATTCTTAAAGGACTGTGTTTCTCTCAATCATGAGTACCCTCTTAAAAATCTATTTTAGAGATGGATTTTGAATTTAATTTTTAAAGATATATAATTTTTAATATAGAGATCATAAATATGAAAAAATAAATAAATTTTGAAAATTAAAAATAATAATTATATTAAAAAGTCATTTGAACCGTTAGTTTCAAATTTTTTTAGATGAACCACCTATTTGCGTGCTTCTTACCTTGGGTACTGTAAATGTAGAAATACAGTCCCGGCCGCATTGAAGCAATTTTCCTTCTCAAATTGGGTAGTTGAGCATAAATCATTTTTTATACACAAAGTCTAAAATGAAAATTTTCAAATGTTGTGATGCATTTTCATCAATTAGATTTCACATCCAATAGTTAAAAATGATTGCGACTTCTTTATACCAAAAATAAATAATCTTATAATGTACATTATCTTATTTACGGCATCTTAAACAATTGGCACAACTTCAAATCCTACAAGAATATGTAGTTTTAGTTTCGGTATCCAAAACTCCTATAAGAGCCTAAAAATCTGTACTTAGTTATGAAATTTAAATATCCAAAAATGGTACAGATCCAATAGATTTATAAATTGAAAATCTCGAAAATTGACTCTCCACACATTGTATTACGATGCGCTATATTTAAGAGTGGAATTTTTATTTTTTATTTTTTTTAATCCATATATCTAGAGGTGAAGATGACCAATAGGAAAATCTTCCACTTTAGAACGACTTTTTTCGGTTTTTTGAAGTGCACCTTACTTTTATAATATAAAATTTACGTCTGGCATAAATTTTTTCTTTTTTAAAATATGAAGACCTACTACAAAGGAATATTTTATTCAGTTTAGAATCGCTAGATAAGTATTTTAAAAGAAAAGGATATGGATTTTAATATCGTTTTCACCGGGTTCGATTGTCCAAAAATCAAATATTGTGTTAAGCTCTAGGGCATATTTTTTGCTTTTTGTTTGGGGTACGCTTTCTATAAAAGCATATATCTTCCATAGAGTGGGGAATAAAAGTATATATCTTCCATAGAGTGGGGAAAGTATAGAAACCTTTTTTTAATGTTTGTCGTTTGGTTTGAATGGTTATTTCCCAAACATTTTAGATCCAAAAGAACCCATGTTGTACTAGCAAAGGCTCTAGTTGAGGGCCTAAATACATATCAGTGTTCCAGAACTCGCACGAGTCCACTCAAACTTGGGCTAGATTGTCACACCCCAAGAATTTACAGTACTGTTATTCCTGAGATGTGACAGACAAAACATATATACATCTATTGATAGGACAAATTTAAGAGTGGCGAGGTAAATTTTGGGCTCAAATTTAGAAAGGTATCAGTTTGTAAAGGCATTCTAGCATAATTGCCAATTTAATATGTATAGAAAAACTCTTATGAAAATTCAAGAATACGGAATTATCACAATTTATGGAATATCAATTCACAAATAAACATTTTACAACAATACTATAGTCAATTGCAAAAATGTCAATTTTTTAAATAATACGGCAGTCATTTGCACATGAATTTTACAATGTCTAAATATTCAAAACAGTAGAAAGAAATATCACAATTTTACTAAAAGTAGAATTATCACATTTATTTCTAACAATAGACAAGAAAAATAAATAAATTTATTTTTCTAATTTACAACATTCAAAATTTCTAACATAGATAAAATATCACAATTTTTATTAAAAAGATTATTTTTCAAGATAATGAGGTCACGTGCGCATAAAATTTATCGCGCCTAAAATTCATGATAATAAGCAGAAATAATTATTTCATTTTATTTTTAAAAAGAATGGATTATTTTTCGAGACAATAAGGTCACTTACATATAAAACTGATAAAACAAAGATCCTAGACGGAAATATCACTATTTATTAAAAATAGACTATTTTTCAGGAAGACGATGTCACTTACCCACAATTATTTGAGAGGGAGCTTCCGATAAAAATTTTCGGTTCGAAAGAGAAGTTCACTGTGTTTCGACCAGAGAGAGATCTCAAAGTTTTGTTTTAGGGTGGGAGTGCTCACATCCCCTATTTAAATTCTTATAACGTATTATTATATTATTTTCTTACGCTCTACCTCATACCTGAGGTGTCGCGTTAAAAGCAGACGTTTATCGTATGAAAACCACGTCCGCTAAAGGACACTGCCAGCTGCAAGCAGCAGGAGGCAAAAGCGGGCAAAGGAAAAAGTAAAGGCAAAGCAAAAGTTAATTCAAAGCAAAAGTTTTTGAAAACAGTGATGGTCCCCAAGGACCATCATACTCAAACAGAACATCACCTATTTATAAGCATATTTTCTCCCTTTTTTTTAAAAAAAAAAAAATTTAGGATTGTTACATTCTTCTCTCCTTAAAGAAATTTAGTCCTCTAAATTTGTGTACTTGATTACTGAAAAAGATAGGGGTATTTTTCTCTGATTTTGTTTTCTCGTTCCCAAGTCGACTCTTCTCTTGAATGGTACTGCCATAATACACGGACTAAAGAAATCTCCTTGTTACGCAACAC